CAAATCCCAAATACTAGTAATTTGGGATTTTGGCATCCCAAATCCCAAATGATTTGGGATTTGGGCAACACGTATAGAGCCTAATAAATTTCTGATAAGTACTTGATAGATATTCAAAATACAGATTTTGACCTGTAATATATATTGTTACAGAATAAAATTACCATGATAAAAAAAAATAGTATATAGTATTATATAATACCTATAAATAATTAGAAAATGGAATAATGAATTAAAATAACAAAATAAAATTTTAATGGTATTTATTATGAAGAATAATATATTAGTAGTCATCTGACTAATAACATAAATCACTTAAGTACAATATATAGAATAATTATTATTATATAGTATTAATTATTATTAGATATTATTAGATATTATTAAATATTACAATTATTATTTATTATTAATTAGTATTAATTATATATAAAAAGGATCAAGATCCTATCTTGATTCCTTAATTTAAATTTATAATTTTAAATTTTAATAATTTGTAACTTATTTGAAATTAATAAATTTAATTTTATAATTTGTAACTTCAAGATAAAACTTGTAAAAATTATTTTGCAATTGGATTAATAAAAAAATAAATATTGAAAATATAAATAAAAATTATAAAATAATTATTAATAAAAATATAATAGTTAATAAAGGAATAATGAATATTATAAGATTAAATACTTAATTGTATAATTGTATAATATTATTATTCTTGAATTAATGAAATTAATTACAAACTATTATCATAAACCCTGAAATTGAAATAATACTCAATTATGATAGATTGGAATAATACTCAACCATAATGAACTGGAATATAATTTATAGATGAATGTTAATATTAAATGTGATAGTGAACCTGAAAGATATTGGAATAAATTGGATGAAAGTCTGATTCCTTTTTTAAAATAATTAAATCAATGGTACCTTCTAAAACAACTGAACAACAGTCTTACTTTCAGAAAAGAACTATAAACTCCTTATAAGAACTATTAAGTCACTTCACTAGCTTGTCTGCAGGAGAGTCAGAAACTATTGATAACAATGTTCTAGTGTATTATTTGAATGTTTTGTACTTATAGCATACCAAAATACAGTGGTTTAGTACATTATTTGAATGTTTCATACTTATAGCATACTAGAACACAATGTTCTAATATGTTATTTGAACATTTTGTACTTATAGCATACTATAACACAATGTTTTAGTGTATTATTTAAACATTCCATACTTATAGCATACTAGAACACCTCTATAAAATTCCTGATGTTGGTAACCACTGATCCAATTGTTATGAAACTTGATATGCCTATTCTCCTCAGGAAAAAATATTAATCCTATAATCATCTTGGCTGTAACCATTCTACATGAAATTTTATTTACAATTGAAATATTATTAAGTGACAATTCTCAATGTTGAGCATCTATTTATGCAAAATCAGGATTATAAATTTGATACCAAAAGCATCTTAAAAAAATCTTCAAATCTCAAAGATCAAAATTTGTTTAGTAACTATTGTTCTAAAATTCATACTGGTGTCATTTTTTTTTAACAAGAGTTGATCGGCGTATATGTAATTACTGCCGTGCCGATCCCTGACATCACTTATAATCTTTTTTTTTTGCGGAACGTTACTTTAATGTAAAGGTAATGTATTAATTCTTTCGTTTTTTTTTTTTAAAAAAAGAAATATATGATGAATAAGGCATTTGTCTGCTTTTTTACGTTTTTGTAAAATGATGATAATAAAGTCTGCTACCTAATTAACATATTTTCTGATATATATCGTTACTCATTTATTATTTTTTTCCTAAATAATTATAACTATAGTAATAATTTCTTTTTTTTCTCTTAAATTTAGTTTATTACGAATAATAAATAATATTCCGTGTCGTCGTCGTTGGACTGATTGAGATAAAAATAAAGAACTGGAGCAAATTATTATTATTTATTATTGTCATTATTAAAATATAAATATTATTATGTATTATAAATTCGAATAATCATTCATTCATTCATTCATTCATTCAAAAAAAAAAAAATTTTTTTTTTTCTAAATAAACCATTTTATTTAATTATAATTTTTTTTTTGACAATATTGAAATTTAAATTTTACAAATTTTTTGAAAATAATGGTAAAAAAAAAAATAAAAAAATATTAATTATCTTCTATAATGATGATCAAATAATCCATAGAATCCATTTTTTTTTATATTAACTTCTTTTCCTTTAATAAAAATTATTCCTTAAGGTCCCACTCGTAAAACTTGTAAAGATCTTTGGAATATCGACTTCTATTCCTGTAAACTAATTATATAATTAAACAGAATTTTAAATAGAATTAATTGGATGATTGATGATGATGATGAATGATGATGATGATGAATGATGATGATATCGATGTGACGATTGTGATGAAGTTGCAGTTGCTCGATGATTTGATATGAATATAAAGCTAAAATTTATTTTAAATTCATTATATATTCACTCTCTTATCAATAGAACGAACCTGAAATTTCATCTTGTATTATATCTAAAATCAATTGTTATTTGATGATATATCGCTACCAAAATATTTGTCTTTTATGTTATTATTATTATTGTCGTATAATTTAAGCATTGATATCTTTTTGGCTTATCTTTTAGCAGCAGCAGCTAATCGATCATCATTCATCTACTTGCGAATATATATATTTTTTTTTCAATGGTGCAAAAGGCGGTGCAAAAAATGGTATGTCGTGATGTATATACATATATATATATATTACACACATAGTTAAGGGAAACGACGACGACGACGACGCTTAATTTTTACTATTACGTTTTCCTCCCCCCCTTTTTAAGGCCAGCAAATTTGCTAACCCTAATTTTCCCCTCCGAAATCAAAATAATCGTTAAAGTTCGCATCATCCGATTGTGATTGTTGCTCGAATCCATCATGGAGAAAACCAAAGGGATCTACTCCATCTCCAAGGCTATTGGCGTAATCGCGGCACTACAAAAAAAAAATCACACACATATACATATAATATATATATATATTTATTCCATTACATTCGTTAATAAATATTGTTATTATTTAAATAAATTATTCATTATTTATATTATTTGAAATAAAACTTTTTACGTACCTCATCCACGTCAAAATCAAGTGCGGATTGTCCTGACTCATTATTATTATTATTATTATTATTACTATTATTATTACTATTATTATTATTATTATTATTATTATTATTATTATTATTAATTGCCATTGATGTTTGTTGTTGATTGTTTGTGGTACCGCTTGTTTGTGCTCGTTGTTGAGTTGGAGTCTTTGAAATGTTCTTTGCACCTTTTTCATTATCATTTCCATCTTCTGTTGATTCACGTTGAGGAGTATTATTAACGTTATTAGCTACAGGTTGTGCTTGTATTTGCGTTTGTTGAGCTTGTACCTGTGTTTGTTGTGTTTGAGGTGTTTGAACTTGATGTGCATTTTGATGTGCTTGGGCTGCTTGTTGTTGTTGTTGAAGTTGTTGTTGTTGAATTTGTTGAATTTGTTGCTGTTGAATTTGTTGTTGATGATGTTGAAGTTGTTGCTGTTGAAGTTGTTGTTGAATTTGTTGTTGTTGCAGTGATTGTTGATACACCATTAATTGTTGTGGCGTCATTTGAGATCGGTTGTTGAAAAACATCTTATGTCCATCGTTGGTAGGCCTTATACTTCCAACTCTATTTTGAGCCAACATATTCATATTTGCTGGAAAAACGCTATTATAAAGATTTGGGTGACGCAACATTCCATGAGGCACATTATTTAGCATAATTGGCACATTAATCATGGCGGCAGCGGTATGAAGTTGTTTTTGATCTTGAGTAGATGATACATAAATTGTATTAGTAATTCGATTGATCAGGTTTGAATTAGAAGATAAGTCATGAATAATTTGAACTATTAATTACCTTGTGGTGAAATCGATTTGTTATTTTGGTTACTCATATTAGCCAATTGTTGCTGCTGTTGTTGTTGTTGCTGCTGCTGCTGTTGTTGTTGCTGCATTTGTAGTTGGTTTAGTAACACCTTATTTCCCTTTTGTATATTTTGAATATTTTGAATATTTGGCATATTAGGCATATTAGGCATATTGGGCATATTAGGCATGTTAGGCATGTTAGGCATATTTGGTCGTTGTTGTTTCATGTTCGGCGAGGCCGAAGAAATATTTCCGATGGGCTGTTGAAATTAATAAATTTTTTGTAAATTTTTTGTAAATTTTAAACGAATAAATGAACTTAACCAACGTACGGTAGTCAAGATCAGATTGCTTTGTGTCATATTTGGATTTACGGTCATTTGTGGTCTTGGTGTAGAATTATTGAATTGTACATCTGAATAAAAAATAAAAGTATTTAAAAGAAAAAAAAAAATTTAAAATTTTTTAAAAAGAAAAAAAAAAATATAAATAAAATATAACAATGAACACTTACTAGACAAATAATTTCCAGACGAATCAGGGGGCATCATTCTTTGTCGTTTATTGGGTGACGATGACACGTTAGTATTCTGTGCAGCTTGACTGGAGGAAAGTTGTTGAGGATTATGAACTTGTATTGTAGCTTGGGTTTGCGAAACTTGAACTTGAGTTGGTACATGTTGTTGAGGATTTTGTTGTTGCTGTTGTACCTGCTGTTGTTGTACCTGCTGCTGCTGTTGTTGTTGTTGTTGCTGCTGTTGTTGTTGTTGTTGTTGTTGTTGTTGTTGTTGTTGTTGTTGTTGCTGTTGTTGTTGTTGTTGTTGATGATGCATCATCACATTATTATTCTGCTGATGCATTAGTCTATTAAAATAAATAATTTTAATCAAGAATGAGAATTTGAATTAAGAATAAGAATAAGAATTTCAATAAAAGATTAATGACTAAAATATTCAACTTACAACATTCGATTTCGAAGCTTAATTGGATTTACTTGTTGAGGAGATATATTGTTAATCATATTTTCATTATTTGAATTGGATTCAACATTAACATTAACTGGAACCACTTGATGTGATGGCGCGACAGTAGGAGGAGGAGGTTGAGGTTGTGATTGAGGAGTTTGTTGTGTTGGTTGAGGTTGTGATTGTGAAGTTTGTTGTTGTTGTTGTTGATGTGCTTGTTGTTGTTGTTGTTGATGTTGTTGCTGTTGTTGTTGTTGTTGTTGTTGTTGTTGTTGTTGTTGTTGTGCTGCTGCTGCTTGTTGATGTTGCTGAAGAGCTTGAGCGGAAATGGGAGTTATTCTTGATTGTTGTTGTAATTGATGATGTTGAATTCCTTGACTTGCCATCATTTGTGCGTAACCCATTGGAATTTGATGTAATTGATCTGGAATCATTCGTAATCGATTATTGTTATTTCTATTACGAATCTTTTATTATGAAAAAAATAAATAAATATTATTATTATAAATATTATTATTTATTTATCATCATTTTTTTTTCATTTTTTATTATCATTTTTAAAGGAATTAAAAAATAACAGATAGATAGATAAATAGATATTTTTTTTTTTTACCTGTTCAAGATATCGTTGTGCAGTTTCCGAACCTGGCATACTTGAATTTCCATTCGCGCAATAAACTTCCCAAAATACCAACCACCATTCATATAAAAAACCATCTTCAGTTTGACTGGATAAAGTGATTTCCGGTAATGATTCATTATTATTATTATCCGAATTACCATTATTATTATTATTCTCGTTTTTTATATAACTTTGAATATCTACTGTTTGTAAATAAGCACGAGCTGCTTCAGTTGCTCCACTACGTTTTAAAAAGTCATAAACATATGCATTAAATACTTTTTGATGATCTTTCTTAGTTTGAAGGTCATTAATATTATTAATATTATTAATATTATTAATATTATTTGAATGTATAGGAATCTGTGGAGGCTGTTGCTGAACTTGTGGAATATGTTGTGGTGGTTGTGTGGGTGGTAATGGTTGAGGTTGTTGTTGTTGTTGCTGTTGTTGAGCGTTTGCTTGTTGTATTGGAAGATAACCACCTTCGTTTAACATGATTGAACTAATATTTTTCAATAATAATAAAAATGTCAGTAAAAAAAAAAAAAAGGGTAAAAATTTTTATGATTTTTTTGTAATTCTAATTATTAAAAAGTTATTGAATAAGGTGAAATTTTACCTCTTTTTGTAATATCAATAATTATATCTTCAATAATATATATATGTGAACAACAAAAGCTGAGAAAAAATCCGCTCCAAGTTCTTTTTACTACAGAACGGATAGATAGGTGCCGCAATGTACGTCATTATATGGACGGTCATCGTCAAATAATAAATAAAAGTACGTCAATCATTCACATCATTCGTTACTCAAAAGTTATTCGAAAATTTTGTTTTTATTTTTTATTTTTTTTTTTGACTTCTACAATGAATTTCGTGATTCCCAAACGTGAAATTTTGACCAAAGAGGATTTAGAAAAATTTAAAGAGTCTCAAGCATACTCAGATTTCTTTTCATTCATTGAAAGGTTGAATGAATCCGTTAAGGGACAAAAACTTAGTACCGAATGCGTACTTTCTCCAGTAAGCTTTTTATTTTATTTTTTATATTTATTTTTATTTTATTTATTTTTTATTTTTATTTTCAAATTAATTCAATTAATATTGAACTGAAAAAAATTTTTAATATAGATATTAGTAAAAATATTAGAAATTCTAGATACAGTAAATAATTATCGTATAAAACTTCCTCCAGTAAATAATGAAAAGAGTCGATTTGGAAATCCTGCATTTCGTGATTTTTATGATCAAGTTGCTAATGTAAGAAGAATGATTGCATTAATACTATTAATAAATTGTATTATTATATTTATTAATATAATTTTTTATAATTTCCACAATTTTCACAATTTTCATAATTTTTTTTCCTAAATTTTTTCATAATTTTCATAATTTGTATAGAAAGCCGAAGAACTTCATAAAAATTTATCAATTCCAAAAGAATCTATACCAGAAATTTCACGATATTTTATAGAAAGTTGGGGAAATCGAACAAGAATTGATTATGGAACTGGACATGAGGCTAATTTTATAGCATGGTTGTAAGTATGAATTCTTGTAATATATTTATTCATTAAATTTTTTTTTTATTCATTAATTCTATAATTAATAATTAATTTAATTTATTTAATTTATTCATTAATTTATTCATTATAATTAATTAATTTATTCAATTTATTCAATTTATTCAAGATTATGCCTTGAAAAATTAGGAATAATTGGATCAAATGATTATATTTCTTTAGTATTAAGAATTTTTAAAAATTATTTAGAAGTAATGAGAAATCTTCAATTAAATTATTGGCTTGAACCAGCGGGATCTCAAGGAGTATGGGGATTAGATGATTACCATTTTTTACCTTTTCTGTTTGGATCCGCTCAATTAATAGGTCATAAATATATTCGACCTAAATCAATTCATAATAAAGATGTGATAGAAGAATATTCAAAAGAATATTTATATTTGGCTTGTATTCAATTTATTAATTCTGTATGTCAATTTTTTATTATCCATTGTTATCATTGTTATTTTTGTTAAATTTGGAAGTATTTAAAAATTAATTAATTTAATATATATATGTATATATTTTTTCTCGTCATAGATTAAAACTGCTACTCTTAGTTGGAATTCACCGATGTTAAATGACATATCTGGTAATTATTAATTATTATATATCTATTACTTATTCTAGATTAATTATTTTATATTGATTATATTAATTAGTGTTTTATTTATGTTTATTTATTAATAGGTGTTAAAGAATGGAAAAAAGTTAATGAAGGAATGCTTAAAATGTATAAGGCAGAGGTATTAGCAAAATTACCAATAATGCAACATTTTATGTTTGGATCATTAATATCTTTTAAAGGTAGTAGTAGTAGTAGTAGTAATAGTAGTAATATGGAAACTGATAATTATGTGAATGAGAATGGAAGTTGTCATGGAGAAGAAAAGAATAATGATCATGTACATATTCATGCTTTTGGTCAAGAATTTCCTGATTGTTGTGGTATAAAAATTCCTAGTGCTATAGGTGCAAATCAAATGGGTATAAGAGAAGGTTCTGTAAGAAGAATACCATTTGATTAGATTTAAAATAAATTTATTTATTTATTATTATTATTATTATTATTATTGTTATTTTATTATTATATGAAAATAATAATAATAATAAAATGTTGTATATACAAATTTACTCAGTCATTATCATTTGTTACCTCTTGAACTTTTTGAATTTAATATAAATAATGTTTCAACCAATAATTTTTTTGGCTATGAATCATATTCCTCAAAAAAGAATACAACATATTTACAAAGTTACCCTTATCATAATTTATAAGAGCAACTACCATTGGCGTGAAATTGTGTGAAAATGATTTCTTATTTCATTATTGAGCCAGGTGAATGCTGTAAAATTGATTTTTATTTTATATGTATAAATAAAAAGAATATTACCTTTTAATTTTAATCAAGTGACAGATGCATTTAATAAATCCCAAAACTGCTTTATTCGTTTTCTAAATTTGATTCATAAGATGAATAAATCTTTCTTTATTTATTTATTACAATTAAGCATGTTTAACTTTGTAAAGTGGTTTCAAAGATCTCTGTTTCCATAAAATTAAAATTAATAAAAAAAAAAACCTACTACGGATCGAGATGAATGACGCAAAGATGATTGAAGATGATGCTTATTTCCTTATTTTGTACATTTTACCCCCACTGACATTTCATTTACACACGCCATCGACCTTTAATTTATCATTTTTGTACAAATCACATGATAAATGATACATTTTAAAATACTTAATCGGGTCGGTTATACTTGCAAAAGTAAATTTAATTTCTCTTCTTTTTCTTTTCTCTCTCTCTCTCTCTCTCTCTTTCTTTATAATTAAAAAGGTGACTTTATATCTATTTATAATAATAATAATAATAATAATAATAATAATAATAATAATTATAATAATAAAAATGCAATTAATCAGACATTTTAATTTGTTATCAATATTATTATTTCATCTTTTTATTCTTTTTCCATCAAATCCTTTTCTTTTTCACTTAAAAAACAGCCACTTTATTATTCCTTTAAGTTTCGTAGAAGCAACAACCACTTTTATAGATGTTCTTAGTGAAGACGAAAGGTTTAACAAACTAATTCAAAACCTTCAACGGACACAACTTATACCTTATTTAAATCATTTACCAAGTGCGACTTTGTTTGCTCCGATAAATGAAGCATTTGAATATGAACCTTTTATCACCAAAGAACGTATGCTCTATCATCTTTTAAATTTAGAGCTCCGAGGTGATGAATTTTTTGACGGACAATTATTAACAACCCATTTAGAGATAGTTGAAAAACTTGGAAAAGGAGAAATAGGACAAAAATTAAAAGTCGAAATTTCTGATGGAAAATATGTTGGAAATGCCAAGATCATTAATACTGACTTGATGGCTGATAACGGTGTTATTCATGTGATTGATAAAGTGTTGAAAACTCCTCTTGATGCTTGTAAGTAATAAATAAATAAATAAATATATAATTAATTTAATATTTTTAACAATATTTTATTATTATTTTTTTTTTTTAGTTATTATTTATTTATTTTTTTTTTGTCATTATAATAATAATAATTATTATTTTATTATTTATATGTAGTTGGGACATTAACATCAATTGATCAACTTCACATTTTCGTAAATTATCTTCGTAATACTAAATTGGACCGCCAAATAAAATATGGAAATCATATAACTGTCTTTGCTGTTACGGATGATGCAATTAATCATCAATTTAAAAGTGTTGAGAGAGAATATTTAACTGGTGAATGTGGTGGTGGAATTAATGATGCAACAATTCTTATTAAACATCAATTACATTTTGATAAAGTTCTTTACTCATCTTCAGTGGAAGAGGGTACAACTGAACGTATGTTTTAAAGATTACTTTAGATTACTTTAGATTACTTTTTTTTATTTTATTTATTATTAATTAATTTATTTATTAATTATCTATATATTTATTATTTATTTTATTTATTTATTTATTTATTTATTATTTTTAAAAATAGTGGAAACAGAACAAGGAGAACCTTTAATTATCAATCGGGATGAACACGGAAATATTCGTGTTTCCAATGGACTTGTTACCTTAAAAGATATGTTGGCAGAAAATGGTAATTAATGAGTTTTCTACGATTCATTGAATTCAAATATCGAATTTCATAATTAACTTTATTATTATTATTATTATTATTATTATTTTTTAGGTGTTATTCATGTTGTGAATAATATTTCTATTCCTCAAGCATTATTTTTCAATGTACACAAATATTTATGTGGAATGAGAGCTACTAAAATTGTATCAGGATTTATGAAATATAAATTAGATAAATATATAGAAGATAGGAATGCTTCATATACGATATTTGCTCCTCGAGATGATTTATATGATGAAAATGCTCGTACGGAAGTTTTAAAATATCATATTGTAAAAGGGAAATATAATGTTAAAGATCTCAAAAATCATATGTTTATTAAGACTGAATTGAGAACTGAAGAATTAAAAAATCATAGACAAAGATCGGAAGTAGCGATTTTACCTAATTTTGTTAAAGAAAATGATTCAATTAGTAGAACTGAAATTCTAATTAATGATGCAAGCGTTATTGGCGATCCTGGTGAGGTTTAACTTTAACATTTAATTAAATATTTTATTAATATCAAAATTAAATATTATATTATATTTATATTATATTCTTTTTTATATAAATAGTTGAGATTGGAAATTCAATTATTTATCTGATATCAAAAACGCTCTCTCCACCAAGTGACGTCATGTCATACGCTATACGTAACAGGCAACTTAATGCATTTGTTAGTGCAATATTTGCAAGTGACATGCAAACCGAAGTTCAGAATGCCAATTGGGTAACTATTTTTGCTCCAACTAATTCGGCATTTACAAAAATTGGACTTATAACAAGTTATCTTTTACATCCTGATGGTAAAGAAGATTTGAGAAGTGTAGTAGAATATCATATGCTTAATGAAACTATATTAACCGAAGATATTCCTCAGGGTGAATCTAAATATAGTACAATTGATGGTAATCCATTAAGTATTATACGTGATGGTGAAAAAATAAATGTTGAAATTGCTAATGGAACTTCAACAATTGTTCAACCTGATATACTTACGTCATCAGGAGTTTTACATATAGTTGATTCTGTACAACTTCCACCAAGTTTACATATTACTTTAGATAAAATTCTTAAAGGAATTGGTGCTACTACTATGTTAAAAATTTTAAAGATAGCCAATCTTTCAGAAATTCTTAAAGATCCTTCTGAACCATTTATTATTATTTCTCCTACTGATAATGCATTTAGGGAAATAATAATTAAAAGAAATATTTCATTAGATGAACCTGATGAAGTTTCACGATTAGTTAAATTACATGTTATTCCTGGAACAAGTCCTGAACTTTCTGATGGAAAAGAATTTCCTACATTATTATCTAATGAAGCTAAATTAATAATAAGAAAAGATATTTTACATGGAGTATATAAAATAGAAGTTAAAGGTGAATTTAATTTATTTGGTAAAGCTAAAATAACTGGTATTGGAAAAACCTGGAATGGAGGAGCGGTTTATGAAGTTGATAAAGTTTTATTACCTAGACATCAAGTATCTCAAATTGGAAGTGCATTCTTTGGAATTACAATCGGAATATTAATTGCTACCTTTATTAGTATGGGAGGTGGACTTGGTTTACATCATTATCAAAGATATCGAAGAAGAGTAGGATATCAACCAATTTCATAATCTACAATTTTAATTTTATTTATTTTTATTATATATAAAATTTATTTTTTATATATAATTCATTCAATATATGGAATAAATTTTAACTTTTATTTTTATTTTTATTATTTTTTTTTACTTTATTAAACATTTTTATACTATTTAAATTATTCTATTTATTCTATTTAATTATTTTTGAATATTTAAATATTATTTTAAATTAATTATGTAAATATATATTTCTATTATTTTATTTATTATTTTTTTTTTTATTACTGTATTAAGATAATTCCAATGCATTTTTATCTGCGTTTCGTTAAAATTAAAATTTCCGTAATTTCCGTCTAAGGATTACACATATATATACACATATATACACAATTTAAAACTAATTAAACCAAATTTATTACATTAATAAATATCTCTCTTATTTATTTTTTTTTTTTATTTATTTATTCATAGTGATTTTCTTTGAAATTTACTATTTAAGAAAAAACAATGATTATTTTTTAAATTTCATTTCGAAATATGCATGCTTTATTTTTTACTACGCGAACATCGGAAAAATTATTGTATTTTTTATTGCATCATTCATTATTATTTTATTTCAAAAAAATTATTATTATTATTTTTTTATTTTTTTTTTTTGATTTCACTCTTCACCACAGTCAATAATTGAAATTGGTTTACTGGGAGTACCAGAGGAAGAACCGTATTTTTCAATCTCATACACAGCATCCATGCCTAAATTTTATAAATAAATAATTTAATTATAAAAAAAAAAATAATTATTAATATTATTATTAATATAAAATAAAAAATATTTCAATCACAATAATAACAATAATTATCCATCAATTAATTATCAACTAACCATCAACGACATGACCGAAAACTACATGTTTACCATCCAACCAAGCAGTCTTGACTGTACAAATAAAGAATTGCGATCCATTAGTGTTTGCTCCAGCATTGGCCATGGAAAGAATACCTATAAAAAATATACAATAATATATATATATATTTCAGGTTATTGATCAACTTTATGAAATGATCATCAGCACGAAGGATATGATGAATGAATGAATGAATGAATTTACCAGGTCCAGTATGCTTCAATTGGAAATTTTCATCTTTAAATTTTTCCCCATAAATTGATTTACCACCAGTTCCGTCACCTTTGGTGAAATCCCCTCCTTGAAGCATGAATTGAGGAATGATTCGATGAAATTTCGAACCTCTGAAACCAAAACCTTTTTCACCAGTGCATAACGCTCTAAAATTTTCAGCTAATTATATATATATATATAAAATATTATTAATTTTTTTTTAATGACGATTAAACCTTTATATATGATAATAAATAAATTTATATATATATATTTACCAGTCTTGGGAACGACGTCAGCCCTCAATTCAAAGGTGATTTTCTATTAACAAAGGAAAATTTACACCAGTAATAGTAATAATTAATTAATAATTGCTAATTATCCAAAATTCATTCATAAAAAAAAAATTTTTTTTTTTTTTTTCTACTTACGCGTTCTGTTTTATCAGGAAGAGCAACTTTAAAAAAAACTCTAGGGTTAGGTGCCATTGTCGTTAAAGTTCTAAAAACGGGGTTTCGTATGTTATTAAATATTTTAGTACTCATAAAAAATGCCTCCGTCGTGATATTCATATTATTGTATTTTTTTTTTTTTTTTTTTAAAAAATGATAAAAATTCAGCAGTTACATTGAGTATCGCAAGCAAGTCGACGCCAAGCTGTTTAAACAAAACATTCAGCTATACCTTTTAAATAAGAAAACGAACAATGAGCTCCTAGAGCTAAAAGATGAAATGAAACGCCAAAGGGGGGACCAAGAAAAGGACCTTTCTGCAAAGGTGTTGGATATAAGTTTTTGTGTGTATAATATAAAGTATGGAATATAAAACTTGTTTTTAAACCCATTATAAAATCTTTATAGGACATATATACAGGCATTGTAAAACGTTTTTTCCTGCTCTATGTCTATCCCACGCAAAGTATATTAAAGGAAGCTCTTAAGGGCTACCTTACCGAAAACTTCGCCGTATACATGTTGACTCTAAGTGATAACGAATTCACCAACCGTTTTCATGGTGGGTGGTGTAGCCAAGTATATAATCGTTTTGAGTGCCTAATTTAAATAATCTGCCTGAAGGTTCTACACTATCTGCCATACCTGCACCCAATTAGGGGGGTACCCATTTAAACCCTCTGGTCCTAACTGTCAGTTACTTTTACCTAACCAAGATATAACTCACTATTCGGTTATAGCTTTTGTAACACCTGTAGATTTCGCACCCATCTTAGGACTTACTAAACATCTAAAGCTAGTCTATCCACTAAAAAACCTAACAGAGTGGTCCATGTCCTACATATATATTTACCTGTATGTTTGGTAACTTCTTATCTAACTAGTGCATGTTGTATTGCCACCACTGGGTTCGTATCTCAAGCCAACTTTTGGGGTGCTGCTGTAACCCAATCTGTATCTCAAGTACAACCTTCCTAATTAGTCGCCCATTATGTACTTACTGTCCTTGCAAAGTTCCCAACAATCTCAGTACATGCCACTCTGGTTATACCGACATCTGGATATAATGACGTCATAGTAAAATCTTTCTATACCAACATTTTTTTTTAAAAATTTAATATAAAATGTTGGTATAACTCACTATACTGATATTTTGAATTTTTTTACTAATGTCTCAAAAATATCGATATAACCAGAGTGACATGTACCTATATTTGGAACCGTCTCCTTACTCGGATTCTTTATCAGTCCCTCCCTTACTTCCAGCCAGCAACTCGGACGGGTCGGTCTGCCCAGGCTTTAGATACCTGAAGGACACTCTCCCTTTGGTCCATACTTTCAGAGTGTATGTCCTTTTCTTCCAGCATTAGTAAAAAAAATAGACCGATATATATCGATTACTAGCCGGGTAATTATATATCGATACCAATCACCCCTGCCGATTACAC